GAGAACGTATAAGGAAAACACCGTAATGGCACGGGTATTGATCGACATTTCGCCGATTGGTATGGCCGTAGGATGGGCGTCCAGGTGACGAATCGCGTATGAACTGCAGGTTTTATTATAGAGATATATCGCCTGCACCGCCAGCGGTGGTTTTCTTGCAACGTCCACCTGTTTTCTTGTGACGTATGCCCCATTTTGACCGACTTCACCCTCATATCTTCAGAAGCCTAACATCTGTCTTTGCGACCTCCTCAGCCTCATCCAGCCCCCATCTCAACTCTCACTGCTGCAAAACCAATAAAGATGGGTTTTCTATGGTGCCTCAAGGGCCTGCTTCACTTCTCGTTACTCTTTGGTTCCCTTGCTGAGAGCCATGCTATCTATAGCATTACTATTGACTTATGCATTGCTTATGATAAGCATTACTAATAAATAAAAACAACTAGTTATACACCAACGATCAAGGAGCAACAACGCGCTTGCAGCCGTGCAGAGTAGAAGCGGAATGAAATGTGCCGCAGACCAGTAATTTTTGTTTCGACTTAAAGTAGTTTTTCCGCGCTCAAGCCCAAGTGGCACGATAAATCGGCAAGGCGTCTAGGGTCGACACGCTAGTACGAAAGAGTATTGTGGTACTTAGCAGACGCTACGTGGCTCCTTCTCCGGCTAAGGGTCTGTCGCACCTTGGTTAGGTTCTCCGGTTATAGCACCTAACCAAGGTGCGACAGACAACCCAGGCGCCCACCGCAACCACCTGTCCACAAAGTGGCCGGACAGTTACATCGAGTTTGGTACTCTTATGGTTTTATTTATGAAGTTCAATTGACATGCAGCGTTGCTACATGAATAAATATGTGCAGCCGTATCTCTCAAAGCGGTTGTTGGCACGATGCCAAAGCGAAACTCGTCCAAAAATGCTCCTCCAATGCCGTGCAGAACGAAGGTTCTTCGCAGGTTTTTGGCCGTTTAACTTCGCTTTTTCGTAGTTTTCTCACTGTATAGCCCCCTGACTAGTTTTGAAGAAGTACTGAACTATCGTGCCTTTTGTCTTGAAAAAAAAATTGTACAGTGACCTCTCTGGATCTTGCTGTGTGGGAGCAGTGCGTGCCACATCTCGCTGGCGAACGGCCAGCCACACGCCTAAACATAGCCAGACGCGCTACTTGTCTGCGCCCTCTCAGTTCTGGTTGTTCTCTCCCGCTGAGTGCGTGCTTTGCTAGGGGGCTTTGGTATCGACGCAAGTGCTGCACATTGAGGATAGCGTGGCCTGGGTACAGCGACGGCAATCGGGTACGACTAGCCTACAGCCATGTTCCCGTGCACCTTTCGGAGAAAGTGGCACCAGCTGCAGACCCATTCGCCTCGCCCATGGAGCACTAGCGCTCAGAAGTTCGGCCCGCATTCGTTTGCACAAGGTGAGTTTGCACTGTTGTTTTTCATTCAGTTGTTTTGAGCGACGTCTAAGCACCTTTCTATCGATAACCACGGGTTTGTTGTGATCCTTGATTAAAACGAATATTTTTATTACAGAAAAACTATGCACAATGTCAAGAAGAATAATGCAACATACGATGGTGTTGCTACTCGATCTGAAGCAAATTTTACAACGGAAAATAAGATTTTCCTCATGTCAAATTTTGACTGATAAATGGATTTCAGCACACACGCACAATTACAGAAACACACATTTCTTATGCTAAAGGAGATGATGATGATAGTGGAAACAATGGAAGAAAATGCTTTTAGAAATTGGTTTTTAGTTGGATGCTTCGCCTTGAAGAATCTTCACATCCCATAGAAATAGGAAGAATTCGACGACCATTAGAGCCTGAAAATAATACAGTACCGTACTACTTATTATTGTAGGGATTACGGTGACCTGGTACTACGATAAGTGATAGAATACGTACCGCACTCGCAATGAGAGTCGAACGGGACACGTTATATTCAATGATGAACCAGATGATAAGTGCTGCAGCGATCAAAAATAGAACAGTGCACACTACCGAGTAGATTCGTTCCTGAAATGTGCAAATCAATACTAATCGATACAAACTTTACTTCTGATGACAACTTACTAGTCCCCATGCTCCAATATTAAGGAAGTTGAGAACAAGGAGAACTATGTTGATCACGACAACGATGAAATTGAGACCAGAGCAGAAGCCAAGGCGTCCCTCACCAAAACACGACTTACCGCCATACCTGAAAACAAAGGCCCTAGCGTGATATTTTATTTTTGGCACTGTTCCAACAATATTCCAACAGTGGAGTTCTGCTCGGTGAGGGGCATCCAAAGCATTTGAAACCACGGAGTTTCGCACAAGCTGTGTAGGTTGGAGCGGTATCAGTTTCCTTCTAGGGGAAGGGTTTAGCATGGCGCCAGCCCTTTTCTCATTTTTTAGCTACCAACGACGCTGTATCATATCGCCCGTAAAAGTCGTTTTCCACCAACTACTGCCGCTTACCTGCTTCAGCATTTGGTAGAGAACGGTCTGGCGGCGGGCCAAACGAATCCGGAAAGGCCCCATAGTCCACCCTAACCCGATGCTTCTTCCAGGTAAAATCCTCACCCCGAGCGCACAACCGTTTTTTTTTCACCCTTCAGCCCCAACTGCTCCGCCTTACTGCAACAGCGCCCCGTTTTTACCACGAGTTGCTCTCATCCTATCTTCTTTGCCTGACATTAGTCCCAGGCCGTCGCAGGGCCTGCTTCACTTGTTTCACGACGCCCTCTGTTCCGATCCAATAGGCGACGTCTAGCTCTCCAAGGCCTGCACAAGGGGTCCCTCTAGCCCCTAAGGCCTAGAAGCTAAGTAAGAATCCTCCTTCCCCCCTATTTTTAGGAAACGCTACGTCACAGAGGGAAAAGAGCCAGAGATTTTCAACTCTTTGATAGGACTCCCTAAAGAAGTGCTCTGTAAAGAACCATGTTCAGGTGACATTCCAATCTCCTTTAAAGGACCTAAAGTTAGAATAGATCCCCGAAAAGAAGCTCTGTAGGTCCTTTCAGGGTAGTTCGCTATTTAGCTGTTAGTTAGCCACCTCCAGATATTCTACATTTAGATGCTTTGGCACCCTGGAATGTAAATGACCCGCATCCAAAAGGTTTTCTGAAACTGTCTCGCTCTACTTTCCAGGGCGCAATCCACAGCGCGATCATCACTTGACCCACACAGACTTGACCTGGTATTATCTTTATTACTTGAACTCTTCAGGTCAAGGCTATCCCACCCATGCTATGTGTGTCGCGAGTTGAAACGAGAGTGAGAAGCAGTTGATGGGTTGCTTACGTTGAGATCGATCATCAGTGTAACAAGGAGAGAGAGAAAGAGGGAGGGCATAATAGTAAACAATCGTAAATCGCCGGAAAAACATCACGTGCAGCCAGAAAATTGGCTGGCGGCTAAAAACAATGTACGTGTGAAATGGATTCCGGGATGAAATGATGACTGCTACGATAGCTGAAAAGAAGCAGCCACGCGAGAAGATACCCACCGCTATTTACGGCGTGAAAGATTTGGCTGTGCGAAGAGCAGTGCCGAAGGTACGCTAATACTTCACCGGTGGGTGATTTTGAGGTATAGCATCTGTCTTTCCAGAGTATCTTCTCATGCTGCGAGGGTCTAGGTCTTCTCTCTTCACATTTTCTGATAGGGTATCTGAAGGAAATAAGTGAAGAGGTCAAGGAGAAGGAAGGAAAGGGAGGGAGGTGGGAAGAAGAGTGTCCCTCGGAAAGATTCTTTGGCTCCTTCAGGATATCTTCATTTCAGGGGGAACCGGTCAATGCAGGCCAAGAGGTTTTTGCAGGATTTCTCTCGATGGATTCTTTCACTCGACTCTGACGTTTTCTCCAGCAAGGAAATGCAAGGAAAAGCGGATGGAAGGAGGAAAACGAAGGAGGAGGGAAGCTTCGTGATTAGCAGGTATCCCTGAAACAGCTAGGGTTCTTCGGCTCCTTAAAATCTCTGCAATTAGCGCTGACAGGTCCGATGAGCTTATTTGGCATTTTACAGCTCTCTGACTTGGCCGTAGTAGGGTATTGGCTTTGGAAAGTAAAATGTGCTATTTCAGGGTAATAAACAACGAAATCACTCACCATTGAGCACATAGCAACGAGCAGATGATGAAACCGCAAACAATTTGAAGAATCTTGATGATTCCACGGTTAGTGCTCAGATAGCGGGTGTTCAGCGAAATTTCTCCCATTCTTCTGTAAACCGTAAATAACTCTAATTTACTGCCAACACAATACATAAAAACGAAAATGAAGTCGTAATAACGAGATGATTGATGAGGTTGTGGTGAGAGTAAATACACAGAGGAACAACATAGCTTGTATTAGGGTAAGGCTGCTCTCACCAGCTATTATGGAATCCGTCGTCGCTGGCAATGGGCAATGAATGAGTGAGGATGGTCGCCCATAAATGTCGGACGCCTACAAACCGGTCACATGCATCGGTGAGCGCTAAGCTCGTACGTGATTTCAAGGTTGCTATTCTCACTAGTAAACATTAAGCCACCCCACAACTCATCAAAGATCAGCGCTGAATGTCATGGACGGCAGCGGCGGGTAGGTGAGCACAATACATGCAGAACGGCGAATGATTAGGAACTAGTGTTACGTGACAACAAAAATATAGCCAGACCTGTCCATGGGAACGAGAACATAACAGTGCACCCTCTCCCCATCGCAACCCAACTGCCTTCGTGCCCGCCTCCTTTCTAACTGCCAAAACAGAAAACAGTCGGACGGCGGGGAGAGTGGGGGCCTTTGGTTGGCAATATGAGTCATTCCTCCCATTGAAACTGGTTGGCATAACTCTTCTGTCAAGGTATTTACGTGTTTTCACAGGGTCATTTTGACGTTTATCTGGGATGAACGAGAGAAAAGCCGGGGCTGGGAAACAGATGCCGAGGCGCTAGTGAAAGCCAACCGCCGGCCCATTGGCATTGGCAAATTATGCTGTGCAGCTGCTGGTGCCAAGCTATTGAGTGGGAGGGATGCTTTGCATCTCAGTCACTGAGAGATGTACTCCGACAAAGGGCCAAAGATCAGAAAACTGAAGAAGATCCCAGTTGAGCCGTGGTCAGCCAAGTCAGGGAGTTCTAGGGGAACGAAATTCCCACATGATTTGCAAAAGTTAACGATCCAATGGCAACACCAAGAGTGGACCGTTGTGGTTTTGCATTGGCATCAGACCGCCTTCTTATAAGTCAGAGCCAGTAGGAGGAGCTGAAAAGTATCGGGGAAGGTTTCCGAAACGAGTTTCGCTCTCTTTCTCTCACGTTATGTGTCTGGCTCTTCTCGATTGCCACTACTATCATGTGCACCACCCCACACCCATTGCGAAATAACAACAGGGAGCATGCTCAACGGGGCGAAAAACAGCGCTTTCCGCAGGAACCAACCGCGGAACGAGAATCAGGCACCAAAAATTGCTAGACGTTGTAATTTCACGACGACGACAAATTGCCATGTTCTCCAGTATCACAGAATGCTATAGAAGTGAGTTAAGGGCCCTTCTGGTGAAGGAAGGTATAGCCACATGGAGGTGAAAGTTCATGCTAGCGGCCAGAATGGTAGAGATGAAAATCAGCGCAGAAGTGAAAGTGTTGATGACCTGTCCAAAGAGTCGGACCATAGAATCAAGTGTTTGAGTGTTGTTATTCGTACGAGAGACACGACGAGGATAGCTTTGACGAGCGTGTCAAGAGTGAGGTGTGTTGAGGGTGGTGGCGGTGTTACGGTGAAGTGTCTAGCACCGCCTCCTATGCACTCTCCCCCTAAACAAGTATCCGCTATGAATCACAACATGTAGAATTATGTGTTCCAGTCGGCCATGGAGAAAAAAACGGGTGCCATTACAATGGGAACGTCTTCCGGACGATGAATAATAACGGTGTGTCTGCGCAGGCATCGGTCGCGAATCATGGGTGCTGCGAAGATTGCGGAGTGAACGAGGGCGTTCGCCCACGTATATGTGCGGTATAATGTCATGGGTGTATGACTGGTGGCCTATAAGTTCGATATGAGGCTTACTTATCGGCTCCCAGTTTAAAGCTAACAGAGAAAATGATCGCTTCTTCACCCTTCGGATGCATATTCTGGAGTCCTGGTCAAAACGGGAACTTCTGCTACGAAAGTAGAAAGGTAGAAATCGGAAGACCAGGCTCCCAGAAGCCGACTCAAAACTGGCACAAAATTAACTGAACAGGCAGGAATAATGAGCAATCGCTGCAACCAAATGTGCAGAAAGCTTCCTTAAAACGACCCCTCCGAGTTGAGAATGAGAGGCAGGGGAAGTCGAACGTTGGGGAATTCGCAACGAACGTACTGGACGTGGTCAGATATCGATATGCGGTAGGTGGGATAGGAACGGGGAGGGCAGGTGCTTTATACACTCTGACAATCGGGCTAGGAGAGAACTCCGCCCACTTGATCGACGTGTTCGGAGGGGTGTATTTTGGGGGAGTTTGTTATCATGTGGACGTGCCCTGGTGGGAAGAACGGTACAAAACAAGCATCCGATTAACTTTTAAAAGTAGCGAAACTGAATAATTACCCTCTAGGAAAGGATATACAGCTATCAGCCCGCTGTCCATCTGTCGAACCCAGAGCTACCATTAGTGGAACGGACTTTTGGCCGGCGCCGCGCCAAATCCACCCCGCCTAACACGCTAAAGCATTCGCAGCGAGCTAGACTGCAAAGCGCGCCTGAGAGGTTTAAGGTCAGACCATCAAAATTTTCATAGGGCCAGATCCCTTCACGCTTTGCACCAATTGAATTTTGGACCGAATTTTTCAAGCCTTGACTCGGAGTAAAACTTGGTTTAATCCCACCGGAAAATTCCTTCGGTTGAGCGTTGACTTTCGAAAAATCGAGTTTACTTATGCATCAGCATTATATATATTTGAGTAATATTATTTTGCACCGTTTCTCTCCGTTAGGCTAAACTCGTTGGAATTCCAGCGGAAAGTAAATGGGTAAAGTATAGAATACTGAGTGCTGATTAATTCCCGTGGAATACGCCTGACATTCGACTTTCCCTCTGAATAAGAATATTTTGAAATCTGCTCTGCATTTGCTACGCTGTATACAATTATTTCAAAACAAAACTTTTCTTTCCAAATGGGCACTCCGGAGCGACAGAAGTCTGAGAATTAGTAGGCAAGAACTGCATAGGACGGAGCGAAAGCTTGGAACAAGCCGAAGCCTCAAATCAATGAACCAACAAGTACTCGCCAGGCAGCCAACAAACAAGCCAGTAACCCAACAAACAAGTATAATGCTTGTTATTTGTTTGGGTAGCCAGTGGACTTGATAACAGCATTCGTACTGCAATGCATCTATTCTACAACGTCTCTTATTCATAGTTTTGCAGAGGGTACTGCAGATGTGACGCAAAGCTCTTCGAGGCTCGCGGAGGAGGGGGGCGGCCGGGGGTCGGCGGGGGTGGTGAGACTAACTAAAAAAATAAGGAACTTAAACTCTTTGGGGTTGATTTTTTCCCCTCCGGGACACTATTCGTCTCCATTGAAAATCACGGTGACGTTTGGAAAGTCATTTGGCCTACACAGTTTCTTGCGAGGGCCAGCCGATATTCAAACCGACCGGTTAGGTCTGGTACCAATAAATAATCACCGAGGGATGAAAGGCATGATTGGCCCGAGCACGAGACGAACCAGATTTTGATCCCCGGATTGTGAGCGTGACAAGCGTGCTCCACTTTTGAATGCAGAAAATATCACTTCAAAATAGAAACTGGTTTTTTTTTGATTCGCTTCTTCTCACAGCCACAGCTGATATCACGGCAACATGTTGGGTCGCAATCAGTGGTCGCGACTTGCGGCATTGCCACCACTGGTTGTTTCCAATCGAATCGATCACTTCCTGCTCGCCATTGGTAGAGCAAGGGCAGGCGGGCGGCTGCTGCGCTCGCCGAACCTGACAAATTGCAATGTTACAAACTATACGCGTTTTTGAGGGGCACGTTATTTTTATCCATTACATATTCTGTAACATAACACTAGGGCAACATTAGTGAACTGGGAGTAGATTGAACTTTCAAACCACAGGATTCTCATTAATCGTTTCTTCGCGTCATCCAGTAATAGCACAATCCAACAGTGGTGAAAAAAGCCAAAAACACGACGTCTTTGGGCTCCGGTGGGCGGGGCAAACTAGGGGGGGCGTCAGAACTTCCACATATGGGAGCCGCAGCGCCTGCTCTTCCCTCATGAAACTGAAAAGTGCCAACAGTCTTAAAGAAGAGGGGCTAGACTTGCCTTGCGACATGGATGGGAACGCCTTCGACATTGGTCTCGAGCGCGGGGGACTGCTCGTACAACAGCGAATTCTGCGACGCAGGAGCGGGGTTCACTAAGAGGTGCCACACCGCTCGCCAGACACCAACAGGACCAGAGCGCCTGTGAGTCGTTTGTGGGAGGCTATGGGCCCACTCAATTATTTTCAGACAGGCCTTTTATCGCCCTGGTCACATCTCCAAAGTTAAAAAAAAAAAAAAAAAAAAAACATAAACACACTTCCAATTGAACCGCGTTACACTGACTGAATGCAAGAGAAATTGCGTGTTTCCCTGTGTTCAGTGATCACACGGAACAATAACGAAATAAACAGAGACAAATAAACAAGGTAAAAACAGGGTCGTTCGCCTCAGTGAACAAGATCAATACCCGTGCCATTACGGTGTTTTCCTTTATACGTTCTCATCCTCTAGTGTTTTCGAGTGGTATTCGTCGCAGGGCTCTTCAACAATAATTTTGGCATTTTTTTGGTGGAGGTGCTAGTACAGCTGGTTCATGGAAGTATGCTATTCCTTGCAACGGTAGGGTTACAACTGCGCTAATATTTTCCACGTTTTAGTCCCATTAGAGGGCGAAGGGCCTGTTTTCTGATCTCCAAAGTCCTGTTTATCCTGCAATGCAGACCTCTGAACCCTTCAAGGATATATGCGCACACTGTTGTTTGAGAGGATCCGTTTTGCCTTTGTCTAATTCTGTAATCCGAATTCCCTCCTTATAGACACATTCCGCAACAACCAGATGGGTGGAGAATTAGGCAGGTATTCAAGTTGATTCCCTCATTGGTGCGCCCGCGCCCCTTCCTTTTTGTTGTCCTGGAACGAAAGGCGCACCCATTAAGAAAGGAGCAATGGTCACGAGTTACCGAATACATCACCGATCG